TTAATTTTATTAATTATTTTTTAATAACAAAATAAATTAGAAATATCCCTTTATTGATTATTATTGATTATACCATTTATTTTTGCTTTTTAAAATTGGACACAAATTAATTTTATAAATTATTTTTTAATAACAAAATAAATTAGAAATATCCGTTATTATTGATTATACCATTTATTTTTGCTTTTTAAAGTTGGACACAAATTAATTTTATTAATTATTTTTTAATATCAAAATAAATTAGAAATATCCCTTTATTGATTATTATTGATTATACCAATTTTTGCTTTTTAAAGTTGGACACAAATTAGTTTTATTAATTATTTTTTAATAACAAAATAAATTAGGAATATTCCTTTATTGGTTGGCATTTTCAATCAATCGGGTCCATAAGCTTAAATCAATTTTTTTTTTTTTTTGTCAACATCAAACTTTTTTCGAGAAATGCATCGATCTTAAACGGAAGTACCCGAATTAAACAATACATTTCGGCTCGAGTCGAGTTGATCTTTTGCTTTTAGGTAGTGGGCATACTGCTCGACTTCGGCTTAAGTCGAGTCGATATTATGCTTTTTGGCCCTCTTACTTCATCAAGGCCAATCTCGTCTCATATTTAGATGGATTCATGTTTATACTCTATTTATCTTCTATCACTTAAGATTATCCAAATTTATCCTTAATCAAACCGGTCAAATATGGTTGACTAAAAATATGTCAAAAAAAGTCAACTTACTATGTCGGTATTTTTTTTTTGTTCTATACTCCAAAAAAAATATAATAATAATAATAACTATAATAATTCTCACTGTTGTCATCATTATCATTGTTAATTTCTCTATTAATGATTTCAAGTAAGACTAAGATTCATTGACGATAAAAAGTTTGCATTTTTTATTTAGATAATACGTTTAATAGTGAATTTCTTTAAACTTTATATTTTAAAAAGTAAATTTTTCTTTTTCATTTAAAATTAAATAGAAAAAAACGTGCTTCTTTATATTTCTATTTTTGTTAAATCTAAAAATAGCCATAATATTTTAAGTAATAATTAAAAAGTATAAAGTAATCTACAAATCAAGAAATCACATCCATCATAATTAATTTCATAAAAAATAAATTAAATGATATAAAATAACTTCATATTTATTTAATTTTATGGAAAGTTTTGTTGAAATATTTTAAATAATTTTTTATGGTCATCGGTTAAATTCATAATTCATTAAATTATGTGACGAAATTTTAGCATATTTTGTCATCTCTCACATGTTTCGTAACATGCTGAACTTTTGAGTTTTTATAATTGATAATTAAAAATGTTAATAATTTATTTATGCATATTTCACCTACTTGAGCATCACAAATTTATTTAAATTTATTAAAATTATGCTTTTTTTTTAAGTTAAAGATCAATAATTCCTTGGATAACCGATTCTATAAATGTTGGGAAAGTATGGTGACAGCCTATAATATCTTTTAATAATTAATATTGTATGTTCATCATAATTGACATTTTATTAATTTATTTATTTCGCTAATAATTAATTATGAAAATTCCATATTTACAATAATATCAGGGGGGAAATATCAAATCAATGAAAAGGGAGAAGAGTCCCTTCGTTGATTATGAGTGTTTTTATTTTAAAATTTCCAAAATTACATTTTAAAATATTATTGATTTAACTTTATTGGTTTATGAGTTAATAGTTGGAACATAAAAAGGAGATCCAATAATAATTCGTGGCCACGGTTGAAATTTGAGGGAAAAAGAAAACGATTAGTGTGTACAGAACACTAAGGTGCGTTGTCTATGACTACATGTCGATGTCTCGGTCATGTTTATCTAGGACGTGTTGTCTATAACTGCATGTTAAATATGTTCGACATCCCAGTCATTTTTATCCAAGATGTGTTGTCTATGACCCGTATGTCAGATATCTTGATCATGCTTATACAGGACGTGTTGTTCATGCTCGCATGTCCGTTCCATACTCTTTTTACTTGCTATCATGTTAGATAAGTACAGGTGTGTATGGCCACCAAAATCATATCTACACTCCATGACTAAAATGATGAAACTGTACTACAGGGGGAACATGACTAGTTGTCAATTCTTTCTACTTGTGTTTCTACCCGCTTTTAGCTTATAACATTGCTTTATCTAAACTTGAATTCAACGTATTTTCTCACTCACGTTTTTAAAACATTTTTCTCAAACGTGATTTGAAACTCAAGCTTACGTTGATATTGTCCGCAAAATTCGAATTTTACATGGTTGACTTGTTTGCTGAGTTAGAACAAGTGTTGATATTGTCACGTTACTTACCAGAAGTTCTTCCAACACGTTTTGTCCCAATTCACATGAATTTTAGAATTGTTTTCATCCGAAAATAATAATAATTGATTCATGTACATTTCATTTACTGGATTTAAATTAATTTACCCACAATACAATTATTAATTTGAGATCAAATTTTGTTAGTTCATTTTTATTATATTTAATATTTAAATTATTGTGTGAGGTTGGGTTGAATTAAAATTATTTATCCAACTATTTTTGTTTTCTTTTAAGGTTAAATGAATTAAAAAGGTGTGGGTATTATTCAATTACTCTATGGCCACCCGACCATTATTCAAACGTGGGGCGTTATCACAAATGAATACAGCCTTTGTAGTTTTCGCCCCACGATGTCAATTTATGGGAATTTATTTATTTTGGACGTCCTTATATAAACAATTCTTTTTTTTTTTTAATAATATTTATGGTTAAAATATTTAATAGTTTTTAAAACTATATAATAAAATTTTGATTTTAAATTTTAATGAGCATTTATTAAAGTTAGGCGACAAAAATAGTAAATAAAATTTATTAAACATAAATAACTTTTAAAATTAGATAAAAATAATAATAATTAAAAAATTATTTTTGTAGACTATGACATGGTTTGGTTGGTTGTAAAATCAAGATGAATAGCATCAATAAATGTGTTCGTTTGTAGGGTCCACAGTAAGTGGGGGTAGTACTGTACACAGGAGAGCATAGCCATTAGCCATGCCCTATTGGAATAGGGCAATCAATTTGTGAGCCTTGTATTATCCAAACATGGAAACTTCACTTCCCTCTCCCACTTAATTCACTTTTGTTTTTTTCCTTCTTGGAAATATTCTAAATATCTACATCCAACCTTGCGCACGAATATAATTTAATTAGTTAAAATATATTTTATTTATAAATAAAGTTAAAGTAGCGTTTGACATTTGTCATCAATTGAGAGGTCAAATTTTGAATCTCAGCTCCACGTCTTATAAATCTTTGAGATTGTTTCTCTTTAAAATAAAATATATATATATATATTTTTTAATCTATGTTATCTTCCCTTGAGAATGATTGTGAGATCTCACATCGGTTGGAGAGGAGAACGAAACATTCTTTGTAAGTGTTTAGAAAATTCTCCCTAACATATGCGTTTTAAAATCGTGAGGCTAACGGCGATATGTAACGAGTCAAAACGGACAAGATCTACTAGCGGTGGGCTTGAGCTGTTACCAATGATATTAGAGGTAGATATTGGACGGTGTGTCAGCGAGGGCGTTGGGCCCCCAAAAAGAGGTGGATTGTGAGTTCCCATATTGGGTGGAGAAGGGAACGAAACAATCCTTACAAGGGTTGGAAATCTATGGGCCCCCAACGAAGTGGATTGTGAGATCCCACGTTGGTTAGAGAAGAAAACGAAGCAATCCTTACAAGATTGTGAAACCTCTGGGCTCCCTAAAACGAACAATATCTACTAAATATCTACTAGTGGTGGAAAATGTTTTTTTGTACGGGAATGGGCTGATTTTAGGCCCAATTAGGAGTATACGCAAGACCAGCCCAACTGCGAGTGTCTCTGATATTGGATCCAATAGCCCAATCAAACAAAGGGAAAGCAACAAAAATGGCCAAAAATAAATTATAATATAAATAAATTTATAGGAGAATAGCATTATAAAAATGTTCTTACCATAATAAATAAACTCATAGCCTTAAACTATTAATTTTTTTTTTTAAATTCTTACGCTTTGTTTTAAAAATACCTTAAATTTTTAGAGGTTAAAAAAAACGACCTTAAACTTTAATTTTTTTTATTAATACCCTTCATTTTTTTTATAATAGTTTAAAACTTTTAATATTAGTAACATATTTAAAAAAATATATTCATAAAATTTAAAAAACCATTAACATGGTTATAAAAAATTATTATGGTCAATGCATGATTGCGGTCCGTTTACACCTCACAGATCTCTTTCTTTAGTATTAGGAATATTACAAATAAATTTTTTTTTCTAAAAATGTAAAAGTATTATTTTAATATTTTTAAAATATAGTATTAATGGTTTCATCAAATATTTAAAAAATTAAATGTTCACAATTCAAAATTATTTTTGAAATAGAGGGTTATGGTTGAGATCCACACTAGCAGATATTCTCTTCTTTGGACTTTTCGGTTCGGGCTTTCCTCAAAGCTTTAAAACGCATATGTACCCCAAACAACACATATCTGTTAGAAGTGGACATAGCCGAACACCAGACTATGTGCTAGCGAGGAGGCTGTTTCTTAAAAGGGGTAGACACGTGACGGTGTGCCAGTAAGGACGTTGGCCCCAAAGGGGGTGGATTTGGCGGGGGGAGGTCCATATCGATTGAAGAAACGAAAGAGTGACAGCGAAGACGCTGGCCCCAAAAAGGGTGGATTATGTTGTCCCACATTGGTTGGGCAGGAAAACAAAATACCTTTTATAAGGGTGTGGAAATCTTCCCCCAACTTTTAAAGGGTTGATGTGAAACCCAAAACAGACAACATCTACTAATCTGGGCAGTTACATTGTCAATTTAATATATATATATTTTTTTTTAAAGTTAAAAGATATTATTAAAATTTTTAAAAACTTTAAAAGATATCAACTAAAAAAACAAAACAAAAGTCGATCTTATTTTAGAGTAAAATTGAAAGGCCTATTAGCTTAGTCGTGAAGTACTTAGCTAGTTGGGGTTTGGCGTGGAGTCGGAGTCCCTCCCATTATAAGTCGTCCATTGGCTCATTCATCTTCCTAATCGAGTTGCAGAGCTATGGCGGATTCTAGGGTAGATACAATTTCGAGGTTAGCGCAATGGAGAATCGACAGCCTCGGCCCTTGCAACATCAAGAAATCCGATCCTTTCAAGGTCGGAATCTGGAATTGGTACTCTTCTCTCAACACTTCATTTCATTTTTACTCAGATTAGAAGAACATCATTAATTTTATGTTAATGGATTTATGTACTGGATTTGAGGCATTTGTCGGTTGACAAGAGTCGATATCTGTACATTCGTTTGTTCCCTGAGCCGTCGAAGATCTCGAAGGAACAGCCTCCAATTGCTCGGTTTATTATTCGAGTCTCTAGCGTTGGACCGAATCGTAGACCTGCTATATCTCCCAGTATGTGTTCTTATCCGCTTGCCTGATTCTTATGTTGCGTTTTTACTTTGAGCTTTGCATCCTGTGATTGAAAATTCTTTAAGCTGTATCCGCTGAGGAAAAGGATTGGGAATTTGGGGATGGAAGAACAGTGAGAGTAACTTTCTCTGTTTCTCTTCATGATTTTACCTTTTAGAACTTTTTTATTGACTTTTGTTGAAGTGCTAGTCAATAAGGTCACTTTTAGAATTGAAAATTACATATAGTTTCACAATATCAAAAAGAAAAATGTAAAACCATTTAATAGTTTTCAATAATTATTGAGTTTTTCATAAATTGTTCTGCAGAATTCATGAATCATTTTCTTAAATAATACACGTGAAGCAATTAACAACTTGTAAACTTCATCAACGAAACTGGATACTTAGTGCCATATTTCATTTGTTATACATCAATAATTTATCATTTATCATTTAAAGGTCATTGAGTGCTCAAAGGAATTTAGATAACTGCAATTGTTGTTAAATCTGTTAATATGTATAACTATTGGTTGTAAATTGTTATTTTTTCTCCTTATTGTTCTTAGCCATTTTACATGTAATATAAGATATCCTTTCTACTGGTAGATGAACACGACTCTCTACAATAGTATGATATTGTCCACTTTGAGCATAAGCTCTCGTGGCTTTGCTTTGGGTTTCCCCAAAAGGCCTCACACCAATGGAGAGAGTATTCCTTGATTATAAATTCATGATCATTCCCTAAATTAACCGATGTGGGACTTTCATCATCCAACATCTACTACTACCACTACTACTGATTCATTGAGGAAGCCCTGTGTAAGCTTTTGTTTTTCGGATGAGAAAATGCAACAAATCTAACGGGAAAATATGTCAAAATCTCATATCTAATTGATATATTTTTAGCCCTTTCTTTATGAGAAATCTGTTGCTTAGTTTAGACCACTTGGAGCCTTCGGCCCACCAATTATGTTCAAATCTTGTTCTTTTTGGGTCAAATAGCTTGATGCTTTATGATACTTGAATTACTTGGCTTATTTATACAGTTGATGAACTGCTGTTTTCCTCCTGCAGTTAATGAGAGAGTTCTTCGAACTAGTGAAGACTTTGTTTGGGCTGTTGATTCCACCTTCCATGGTCGCTTCATTGTCGATGTCGAATTTCTTGATTTGAAGATCTGCCCTGTGAATGTGAGTTCCAAACTTCCAATACATAGCTGTGTTTGATGCACTTAAGATGTCATCTTCTGCGATGGATTTAACTGAACTTCAATTCGACATTTCATTTGATACCCATTTCTTATCATAAATTTATGGGAACTCTTTTGGCTCCGTCGAATCACCAATCTACCCAAAAGTTTAAGTTGATGAGTTATAAATAGTAAATTTCACTATTTTTATACTCTAATGTTGGATAGAGAATCGATATAGGGGTTTGAATATAAGATGTTCTGCTCTGATATATTATGTTAAATCACCGATCGACTTAAGTTCATTGGTTTCGGTAGATTTAACTATTGTAGGATCTAATCCTAATTCTTGTGTTAGTTTGAAAATCTGTCTATTCTTCGTTCATGTAGTCTTGACTGTTTTGATTTGGATATATTTGCTAGCCACAGTTTATCTAACAGTTGAATCTAAAAGGGTTTAAAGGGAGGGGAACCGAATTCTATATGGCCAATGGAGGGAATGATGCAATCTGTATCGTCTCAAAGCACTCTTCAATGTCTCTCGCGCATGCTGGACGAGGCTATCCATGCCGATGTCACCATCAACACGATCGATGGCACTTTACGAGCTCACAAAGCCATTTTATCAGCAAGTTCTCCTGTATTCAAGAGCATGTTCCATCACAATCTCAAGGAAAAAGAGTCTTCCATCATCTACATAGAAGACATGTCTCTAGATGCCTGCATGACTATGTTACGTTACTTGTATGGAACCATAAAAGAAGAGGACTTCTGGAAGCATCGAGTGTCGCTTCTCGGGGCAGCAAACAAGTACGATATTGCAGACCTAAAAGATGCGTGCGAGGAAAGCCTCTTGGAAGACATAAACTCGGTGAACGTCCTCGAGAGGCTGCAAGAAGCATGGCTTTATAAGCTGCATAAACTGAAGAAAGGATGCTTGGCATACTTGTTCGATTTCGGTAAGGTCTACGACATTGGTGACGAAATAAATAACTTCTTCAGGCAAGCGGACCGGGAACTGTTGGTCGAGATGTTCCAAGAAGTGCTTACAGTGTGGAAACCAGTTTAATAGGTGTAAGTTTTCATCCCCATCAAGTGTGAAGCTTTGCTCTTACACTCATAAATATGTACAAGTAAATGTATATATATGTGAAGGGTATTTGGAACCACTTTTCTTTTTCTTTTTTAGGGTGATGATATGATGGTGTTTCTACAACGAGTCATTATGGTGTGATTTCATACCATGTGTATACTTAATGAGGTACATATTTTGTATAAATTTTTAATTATAATGTTTGACGAACACGACTCTCCACAATGGTATGATATTGTCCACTTTTGCTTTGGGTTTCCCCAAAAGGCCTCATACCAATGGAGAGAGTATTCTTTGTTTATAACCCACGATCATTCCCTATACTTCCCCTCGAACAAAGAATGCATCCTTTGGAGTCTTAGTCATTTTTTATTGACTTCGTGCCTTCGAGGAGGAGGCTTGACTCCTTTTTCATTTGGAGTCTTTCGTTTGAGGATTTACCAATCTATTGGCATGATTAAGTTTAGGGCATGGCTCTGATATCATGTTAGACGAACACGATTCTTCACAATGGTATGTCCACTTGAGCGATTCTTCACAATGGTATGTCCACTTGAGCATAAACTCTCATGGCTTTGCTAGGCTTCCTAAAAGGCCGCATGCCAATGAGAGTATTCTTTTGTTTATAAATTCATGATCATTTCCTAAATTAGTTGGAACTTTTATCATCCAACATACAACATATATAATGATACATAACGACGTGATAGCGGTGAAAAACAAATATATCGAATATATACTTATAAATAATTAAAGATATTGAGAGTATATATATGATAAACTTGTAATATGTGGAATATATATAAATAAAATAAGAGAGTTGAATTTTTTAGGGTTTAAAATTTGATATTTTAAAAAATGGATAACAAAACTAAAAATTAAATCATAATCCTAAATTTTTAGATTATTAAACTATTATTGGCAACATTCTTATTTTATTTTATATTATTGCTTTTAAAAAGCTTATAAATATTTTGAAAATTAAAAAGTAGTTTTTGTTTTTTAAATTTGGTTAAAAATACCATTGTTTAAAAAAAAAAAAAAGATAATTTTTAAAATTGAAATATATATATAGATATAAACCAAATAGGGACTTCTAACAAACAAATAATAAAATAGAATTTAAACAAATCCTAAAATAAAAAAATGGTAACAAAAAATGAGGTGTTTTCTATAAAAAAAAATACTCAAATACTCTTAAAATCATTTTTTAAAATATAATTTTTAGAATATTATGTCACACAACCTCATAAAAATGGTAAACAAATTTTTTTTTTTGAAAAAATGGCTTATTATCAATTATTATATTTTAAATTCACTTTATTAACTTGTATTTTGATCGAGGAGTCTAATTTATTATAAACTAAAAAAAAATGATAATTGATAGGTATGAGTAGAGATGTTTATGGAGTGGGGCCGGGACGGAGAAGCTTTTACATTTCTATCCGTATAAAATTTCTTATCTCCACAAAGTTTTTTATAAATAGTTCTCTAAACAAAAATTCTAACTAATAATTTCAAATTTACAATATAGTTTTTATTAAAAAAAAATGTAAACAAAAATTTAATATAAGGTCCACAAATAAAAATATATAAATACAATGTTATTCATACCCAAAAATAATAATAATAATAATAATTAAAATATTATAATTATGGTTTCAAAACCTTAGATAAAAAGAAGGGACGGTGCCAAAAGGGTTGGAGAATTGAGCGGGGATAGGGACGGGGAATACAATTCTCATTTCTAACTCTATTTATCTAACGAAGAGAAATCTCTCTTAACTTCTTTTCATTCCCTCTCTTTAAGTGAGGATTCTCCATCCCATTCAATGTAGGTCTCTACTGAGTTCCGAATGTGGGTAAATGAACATCTACGTATAAAAAGAGAATTATTTTTTTTTAATTTACAAAAAGATTAAATTAATAAAAATATCCATCAACTTTCTACTTTCTTTAAAAATACCTCCTTGAAAATTTTCAATAATAAAAATAAAAATACTTGATAATTATATATATATATATATATATATATAAATAAACTTCTAAGTTAAAAAAATATCATTAATATTCACAAATGTTTTTAAAAAACTAAAAAATAATAATAATAATAATAAAAGTGGTTATTTAAATGAATTTAGGAAAACAAAAGAAATAAAAAATAAAATACAGTTTGAGGCCCACCCAAACCTACCTCGTTTGGATCCGAAGCTGAATAACAGAATATCAACGCCCACCTCCAGTCAGAATTTTTGGCTCGAGTTAGTTCTCTTTCTTTCTTCTTCGTATGATCGCTCTCTGGTTTTTACTTCTTGATCTTTAACTTGATCTCGCATGGCGATGGATACTCTCTACGACTACCAAATATGGCAACCTGAAGAACACGAAGATGACGTTAATGTTACCATTTCCAATTCTCACTTGCTTCCATGTGACTGTTTCCTTTTCCACCTTCACTTTCGCCATGTTCTCCAGTCAAATCATCCTCAAGAATTACAGAGACTCCTAAACTCGTCTCTATCTTCGTTCTTGATACCTTGTGATGCATTTTTCGCCAGTGGCTTCAGTATCCTGATCGCGGTTTTCTCCGACACCGGCGTCGCTCAAGACTTCTTGGACGCGGCGGTACCGGACGTTCTGTCCGTCGCGGCCGATATAGCATGCAATCCTCTTAATGCTGGCCGTCGGGTACTTCCGTTGGCGGTGTCCGTTTTAGCCGTTTCGCCGTACAATGAACGCGAGGAAATTGGGCGAGTTTTGCGGGAATCCTCGCCGCAAGAGTTTAAAACGTCGCCGGCTAGTGAGTCGGCAATCGAAGGGTTGAAGACGGTGGAGATTGATGTCGGCGGAGAGTTGTTGATTGGAGAATGCAGAATATGTTTGGATGAACTAATGAACGGAATGGAAGTTACGCGATTGCCGTGCGCTCATTTTTACCACAGAGACTGTATCGTCAAATGGCTGGAGACGAGTCATTTGTGCCCGTTGTGTCGCTACGCAATGCCACTAAGCTGATCGGTTTCAAAATTTTCCGGGATCAGTGGTCGTACATGATAGAATTGAATTTACAACAGGAAATGCAGGGTAAAATTTTGCTTCCGTATTAAATTTGATTGTGTATTTTTTTTTCTAATTGAGCAAAATTCTTGAACCCTAGCTGGTAAACATTCTGTTCTATACCAAAATCACATCGATGGATGAGGGCTACTCATGCATCTTACACATATGACATCTTCAATTAGCAGAAATTAAATTTAAGTTTGAAGTTCACTAGCAATATGACAACCACGCACGATACATTTAAGTTCTTCTCCTATCTGATGGTTTTCTGTCAATGGACTGCATCATTTATTGCTAATTACCCTCTTACAGTTCCATTCCATAGCCTATCTTTCTAGTAATAGCAACCAAAAATGTTAAGAAGATTTTGAAATTCTTAATGAACTTGTTATTCAATTTAAAGGGGGAAGCTAACCAGATAGTGTATACTTAGTTATTGCTTGTTGAGTATTTAGAAGAAATGAATTGACAGGAGATGATGAACCAAGCTAGCTTTTGTTACTTTTCAACTTAGCTGATATCGAGGAGTAGGGAAATAAGGTGGACTGGTTCTTGAAACACCATGACATTGAGACATTGAGAATCTAACAGATAACTGGATGGGACATAGAAGTTCGTTTTGGAGATTTGCAATTATCTTAGGATGACTGATGAAACCGCTTCAAATCGTCGACTGTGTTTTCGAAGATAGCTGAATCAGAGAATATTTTGATGGAGCAAACAACCAGAATGGCAATTATCTTTGGCCAAGGGAAATTTGGAGGATATTCACACAGTAAAATGGAGATGGCTGGAAGAGAGACAGAGAAAGCAGGAAGCTGGAATATCACTGGTTGCATACTGGCTCCATCAGAAATGTCTATGCCAATACATGGGAATCCGAGGTTAGTTCATAACTTTTTTGTCATAAATGAAGAACAATTCTTTATAGATGAGGTTGAATTTCCTTTACTTTTTGATATGCAGTCAGGGTAGTTGATCAATTAGTTGAAATAGATATATTTGGAATTCTGTTTGGTTGGAGAAAATTTTAGGATTAGAAACATATATGGCCAAAATGAACTGAACGTCCTTTCCTTCTGAGAACTGGCAGAAGACAATCATGTGAGAAAAGGCAAATTGGTATGAGTAGAACTTTCAATCAATCTATTTAGATGACATGACTTAGGAAACAAAAAACTAAAGGATAGTTGTTCTTTTCAAAAGGGTCACTTGAGATTCTTGCATGCTTATTTCTTCTTCCAATCTTTCTTGTTCTGTGGACAGTGATCTTCTTGCATCCTATGGATTCCATTCTTTTGCAGGTCCTCGGCTTCTCCATTCCTTTCTTGATGGCACATTGAAACCCTTCTCGTTCCTTCAGCTTCCATTTGGTCCAAACCCATCTCCCGGCCTTCCTTCCAACTTTTCTGCTCGGCCCACGTCGAGAAATTAAGAATTTGATCATAGGTTTATAAGTAAGGAATACATCTTCATTGGTACGAAGCTTTTTGAAAAACAAAAAAAAAAACTCACGAGAGCTTATACTCAAAGTGACAATATCGTATCATTGCAAAGAGTCAGGATTTTAACCTGACATCTCCATTTTTTTACTCTTACAACTTTCCTTGTAGACTCCTGCATTTTCTCATCCCCTTCCCTACTTTCCCCTGAACTCACTCCTACAGATTCTTCCCCCTATTTTCTCCTTTCCATTTTTGGCGCCATTCCTCCTCTACCACCTCTCTCTCCTCGCCGTCCGACATCGACGACCTGCAGTTCTGGTCATCACTGCCTTTGGAGTCCTCTTCCCACCGCTCCTCTTTCCTCTCAAATTCTCAGTTCTTTCCCTTTCCAAACCCATTTCCCTTCTCATCCCCCTTAGCCAGTCTCCATACTGTAACTCTTCCTCTGCAGTTTCAGAATGAGGATACCAGTCTTGTAGAACATACCTTAGTTTCCATCATCCATAGTAGAAATCCGGGTGCCTTTTGTAAATGATAGGTACCAAAGTTTCTTAACCCATGGACGACCATACTTCCAACTTCACCACTCTTCTCGAAGGCATTTTCAGAATGAGGATCGTAATTCTAATTCTCATGGTTTTTTCCCCCAACACTCCCAACCATACTCCCGAAAGCTGTGGCTATTTTCCTCGAGAAGCAAGCCAATGGAAGGAGGTGGAAATGAACCCAGAAAGATGCATATTGGAAATCTGGGTCTGTGAAGTTGCAGTATCCTCTTTGGAAGCAGCCTTTTGCCATTTTTCAGAACCCTTTGCTTGTCGTGGGGAGTTTTGAGTAGGCATAAGTAGATGGCCATTTTCATCTCAGTTCCAAATCTTTGGCATTGAAGATCTGAAACCCTCCAAATTCACCAGCTTTGGTGTCAAGCGTTTGCAAACTAGGGCGTTTTCTAGCTCCTTAGAAATTCACCTGCAGCACTGAACCAGTTATTTGTGGTCCGACTCACTGAACTGAGCCACCACTGAACCAGTCACAACCAAGTTTCCTCTTAATAAGATGATGATTTGGGGTCGTACTAAAGTGTAAATGGTTCGAATTTAAAGGATTTCGGTGGAAAGAGATAAAAGTCATGAAGGGTGGGATTGAAACTCCCGACCAAGAGAGGTTAATTGATATTATCAAAGAGTTAGAATCATGCTTGGGCTAGTAGATTTTATAAAATTTTAGCATAAAAAAACTTCACCTAGACATACTTCAATTAATTTAGGAGGTACACATCAACATTCCACGTTCGATTGTGTAATAGTTGACTTTGAAAAATGGATTAAGATTTAATTTGTAAACTTTACAAATATATAATATATCAACCTTATGTCAACATTTGATAAGTGCTAAAAAAAAAAAACTAATAAATTTAAATTTATTAGACATACAATTTGAGCATATATTACTAGAGATTTTCATGTTATCTATGGGACGGGGATGCGTGAAGATTTGAGCACATATTTGTTATTAGAGATTTTCATGTTATCCATGGGATGGTGATGAGTGAAGATTTGAGCACATATTGTAAATAGAGATTTTCATGTTATCCATGGGATGGGGATCCGTGAAGACCCTCTTAAACGGGAAGAGGATTCCTCGTTTGAGAAGAGAATTTCTTGTTTAGATGGAGAATGTAGGAGAGAGTTGAGATTATTTCTTTTAGATAAATGAGACGGGAATGAGATTATATTCCTTGTCCGGTTCCAAGTTTTGCCTTCCTTACTATAAATATATTTAAATATATTTTTAAACACGTTTTTTTTTTTTTGGCTTGTTTTAATAAATTTTAAGTTTATTCACAGAATACTGGAATTTAAACATAAACCTGTCAATTTTTAGGTTCGAAAATGCCCAGTAAAAATAGAGAGAGAGAGAGAGAACTGGCTACCGGGTGCACAAGTAAATGAAATGGAGTAACCCTTTCGAAACCTCCAGACTCTCCTCCAACCGATTAAGCCGCATCTTCCCTCCGAATAAACAGACCCATCGTTTTACCAAAATCTCAAATCGCAAAACAAAATGTTCTTCTTCTTCGTCGGAGGGTTAGAGCAACAAGTCCGCCATCTCTTGAAAGCCGGTGCCGGTCGATGCATAAGCTGTAACTCACCGGCCGATCTCGTAGACTACGAAAAAGTTCTGAAGCTCTTCTTTGTTCCAGTGTGGCGGTGGCCGGGAAAAGAGCCGTTGATGCACTGCAACAACTGTAAGCTGTTTTTCCCTCGGTCATTCTCACCGCCGCCTATTTCCGATCAATTGCCGCCGTCAGCCGCTCTTTTGAGGGCCCTTCGTTGCCATTCCTGTAACAAAGTAGTGGAGCCCGATTTCAGCTTCTGCCCTTTCTGTGGCTCTTCTCTGTAAATCTCAATTCTGTAGTTAAAGAAAACTGGAATAATTTATACCCTGCAAGTCGTTCTCATTTACTTTTGTCTCAAATCGTCTGGTGATCTTGTATGGTTTTTGTCTGATTGAGAATGAATTTTGAACATTACTTTATCATTGAAGATGCTTACAACAAAGATTACTCGAATACTTTTACAAAGCCGATTTAATTTATATAGCAGTTTCTAATTTACAAGGGGATTCTGTAGGGGGCAAGAGCTGGCTTCTCTCTGTTTTCAGATGATTTTCTTCTTCAGCTTCTGTAGAGTTTTGAGTGTAAGTGTTCTTATGAAAAGTGGAAGCTGAAAGGGAGGTAGGTTGGTCTTATCTCAGCCTCATGGGTCTTTCATCTGCAATTTTGAGTTCTAAAAATGAAGGGGGCTTGGCTTGTTTATGGGTCCTAAGAAGTGTTTCAAAAATTACGATTGGATACTGTTCAATTTGATTTGCTGAAGGGTAGTTGTTTTGCTCCTTCCTCTACTGCATTTCTCCATAGCCTATATCTTACACCTAGCTTATCATAAGAAACTGGCATGTTCCAGATGTTTTCTCCGTTGAGCATTCTTTCTTGCTGTCCAATGACAAGCCTCAAGTCCTCATTCAATACCTGCATGAGTTGCACAAAGAAAAGCCTTTGGTGTTGGTTGTAAAATGGACGTGTATGATCATGAATGCTGGGGCTTTTAATACTGTTCTGAAAAGAAGTTGAGAATTTTACCTGTTCTGCGAAATGTCTCCAGAGATAGTGCATGAAAGGAATATGCTTCAATATGGGAGCGAAATCCAGTGACATCCTATAGAGTAGTCTTGTCTTCTGTCTTGTTGAAGGTAAGCACACATGAAGTTGATGAAGATGTGTTGAGCATTCCCTTGTAGTTTGGCCTTCTAGTTTTCCTGGCTTGGAAATCCCTATGGTTGATAGTACCATACAAGGTGGTCGAAACTCCATGTCGATTGGATATGGGTCCCAGTATCCTTGCAGGCCAGATGCAGGGGTCAAAAATTTCACCAAGCTGTTGGGTTGCATAGAGTATGATAAGAGGTGTCAGTTTTGATTAGTTTTTTAACTGATTACTTTAGATCCATCTGAAGGAACTACTTCAAACAAAACTCAGGTGTGCTGATTTCTGTGCATATGATAAAACCCATCTTATTCCATCTGAGGTTATGAAAGATCACTTTCTTTTAGACTAAGATCTCAAGCAACCAGCAAAAAAATGGGGAAGTCCATCCTTGTTGCCGAGATTAGGCATGAGTTTTTCCTAGAATTTGGGTATCATTTTGAATGGTTTTAGTTAAATTCCATCTGCCACTCATTTGAAAAATATCTGTGCTCTGCCCTTTTTTCCTTCACTCACTCCGAACAGAATCCCATGTTATGAATGGACAAAAATCATAGTTATGAATGATGATGACTCAAACCAAACGTACCTGGGTACGCTCCATCCTTTTGCAAAAGTGGAAGTATGAGTGAAAGGTGCATGAGCAAGATCCAGGAGGTTATCTAGAAGTAATCCATGCTCCACCGGAATTTCAATGACAAGCTGCCACAGATAATTCAGTTGGAGATTTCAGACAGCTTCATTTACAACTCGACTGCTAAAAGGAACAGAATGTTTCTAACAATTACCTCAGCATGGATTTGAAAACCAGGAGGAGGTTGGAGTGAAGGAAGATTAGCTGCTGGAGGATCATTACCTGGCCAAACCCAGATCATTCCTTCTTTCTCGAAGCATGGCAATGATTTTATTTTCACATTTAGTAGTCGCGTCGATGGCATTTTCTCACATTTGCCATCCGTTGAGTATTCCCAACCTGAAATTTTCAACAAATGAAACCAACCCTTAGAGATTATTTTTCTTAATGACTGTTTTTATCAATACAAGAATTTGAGATTTTAGTCCATATTTCTTTTATTCAACACCAACCATGGTAAGGACACTGGACTCGACCATCGTTGACAGAACCGAGGTGAAGAGGGCATGCCCTATGGGCACATGTGTTTCGTATGCATCCAGGATTGCCATCCTTTCCACGGAAAAGAACCCATGGTTCTTCAAAACAATCAAATGGGATCTGAAATAGATGATGAATCAGTAAGAGGGCACCCAACGTACAGTTGAATCTAAAGGATATTGGACGAGGCGATCCATAGAATTACCCTACCATTGTGTCATCTCTCAGATCACTGGAGAAAGCAACAGGATACCAGAAGTTCTTCAATCGAGGATGATACGGTTCGACAGGTCCTGATACATTTAAGCTTTTCTTTGGCGATCTTCTAGTTATGGAATCATGAGATTGTGTTGAGGTACCGGGCGAGGTAGATGGGCTATCCAATTCCGCTGCGTTTCTGTCTTGTAACAGCCTATCATGCACCAATTCTTCCATATAAGCTAGTTTATCTAAGGCAGTGCTAACCCGTGCTTCAGATTTATGAACCTGTTGTTGTTCATAGGTGGTCAAACATGATAATATTATAGACAGGAGAATAATCTCCTCACCAGGTTGAAGATCCAACAACTAAATGCCATTGACCCATCTTCTTCTTGATGAACTAAGCTAACTACGTTTTAGGAAATTTAGTGACAAGAACTGACTAGAAACTTTACAGACCTGTTTGTGAGCTTCTGCCAATTCCCCCTGTAATTCAGCAAGCTCCTTTTTCATTGTTCCAATAGACTTGTAGTTCCGGGCTAGAGGATTTAGGACTTCCACAACCTAAACCGGTATTTAAGCAACAAATTTTCAGCATAAAACATGTTTCGAGAAGATGGATCAACAAGTTGCACAGCTTCATTAGCCTAAAGGCAATTTGATGTAAGATAAACCAACTAAATGAAGTACGAGGAGGATGGCAAAAAGGAACCATAGAAGTATGAAATGAAAGGAATGTTAAAAACAAACAAATGAAGTAGCATGAGATTGGAGGAACCTTCTCATGGAGGTGCATGATTGTAAGAACATCTTGCCGAGCTCGCCAATCACAGTATTGAATATCATTTCTGGCCACTTCCAGAGCTTGGTTAGCATCTAAGAATTTCCCTTTAGATTGAGGAACTTTTGTCCTTGGATCTTCTACGTCAAAGAGCGTCTGCCAACCACTCTTCCTCTCTATAGCCCCCTCCTCTCCAAACACAGCAAACACTCTAAATCCAACTTTCACACTCTGAAAATTCAACATTCCACAACATCAAGCCATACATTCAAATGAATCTCAACAACATAGAAATGGAGCCAAAAATCTATAACCACAGGGCCAACAATCCACACCACAGTTTAACAGAAACACTACATCAAACAGCTAGGTAGCAGACGCCCATCCAATTCGTTAATTTATTCCACTACTCACCTAAACGCTCCTTCTACAGCAACTAAAGCAAGTGACCACAAGTATGAACAGAAAATAGCCACAAAGTTCGGTAATCAAAAGAGATACAAAAACTAAGCTCAATAAACTCCGTAAGATACTTGCAGCAAAATTACCAGCAAAATGTACATTGAAACGACCAAAATGAACTCTCGATCTTCTTTTCCACGAACAGAAATCGATACCAAGATACAAACGACCAAATCAGGGAAGGAAAAAGAAACACGCACCTTCTTGAAATTGAACTTCGGAGATTTAGAAAATGAGATCGGCAACGAGAGAGCTGCAGCCGTTGCTACGACGGTCATCGCGTTTGGACTGAGAAGTTGAAAGAGAAAGAGAGAGAGAGAGAGAAGGAGAAATGAGAAATTTGGTGCGAAAGAGTTTCATTTTGTGGATTTTGGCGATAAGAGGCGGTTGTATTCCGCGATCTCAGCTGGCCTTCCACGTTCTGCCACGTGGACGAAATGCTATTACACGTGGCATCCTCAACATCCACATGCTTCTTTTTTGTGAGAGCGAGTATCTTCCTTCAGTGGGCCCCCGACATCCTGCCAGCTCGGATTGCGGAGATATCTTAATCCTTCTGAATTTTTCTATCCAATTTAATTTCAACTTCGAGTATTAAATAATAATAATAATAAAATTCAATTCCAACTTCGTGGCTGTCCTTTCATTACGCTTCTTTTGAGTGTTTAGTTGGTGCACCTGTCGAGTATGTAATTTTGGTCACAGTCAAATCTGGTCCGTCCATCTCAAATAATCTACCTCATTCCAAATCTATTTTGTTTTTGTTTAGTTTAATTAATATTTTTTTTTATCATATTTAATATTTGTTTAAAATGAATGACTTTATTATATAGCAAATTGAAAATTTAAATAGGATTATTGATTTTATAGACCAAAAAAAAATTAAGATTTTGTCGCCGGTTAAATAAGAGAATCATGTAGTTTGATGGAGAAAAGCTTGTTCCCGACTATATTAGTGGGCGTTTCGATCTACTTTACATCGTGTTAGGAGCTCGGTTCTAAGAAATTTTACCGCTCGTGCTAAAATTGAAGAGAGATGATCTACGAGACCGAAAATAAGAACAAATAAATATGAAGGCCAGAGGGTAAACAAAATTACTCAGGCCATTCTGAAGCTGGTTACAAAGATCTACAAAGTCCATCCAAGTGAAGATTTAAAACACTCAACAAGAGAAAGAAGAAACAAGCTGTTTTACAGTCAAATTTTTTTATACTGTACTAAATCTCTAGACACCATTATCCATTCCTGACTAAATTTCTAGCTTTATCCCGCTCTTGGTTCGAGAGAAAAACTTCGCAAAACCGTTTCGGTTTTTCTCAGAATTGACAACATGACTTGCAATCACAGACGATGAAGTCGACGAAGACGAAGACAGGGGCGAATTGTCTTCATTCTTACTCATTGATGGTTCAGAACTGTCATCAACTACTTTACTATAGTTTGAATCTCTTTTGGGCGAAAACGCCCCATTCGAGTGCTGCCATTGCTCCTCACCATCTCTAATGACGTTATGCGATTCACTGGCTGTGAACTCCGATAGCTGCGTCGTGTCGATCAGAAAATCTTCGAGCGCTGCTAGAGATTTGAGCTGATCCCCAAGAGAAGCTATCGTCTTTTGACAGTCAGCAAGCTTTCCAGCAGCTACAGCTAGATCCTCCTACAAT